ACTCAAAGTGGGTTCCTCGTCATCAAATTCGAAAATAGATATCTATGTTGAAATGTTTGATTTTTGTCTCATATAAGGCATATAAATACCTGTACATGCTATTTTATATAAACTTGGAAAAGCATGCTTCAAGCATTGTGTAATGTATAAATCGTCTTTGATTGAAGTTTTGTCACAAATATTTTCAGCTCTGCTAGTTAGGCACTACATAAGTCTGTGTTTTATGTACGTTTGTGACATGAATTGGTTGCCGATGACCAGGAGTGGTAGTGTTTTGTTGTTTGAATTTCGTGGCCTGTAGAGTTTAGATGTTTTCAGAGAGACTGTTGGTGTTTCTGTCCATCTAACCAGATCACAAGTGTGTCATCAACAAGTTATCCGAGTATTCTGTATTCGAAGTGTTCCAGGTAGTTGCCAGGACTGGAGAAAGTCCACTTCTGTTATTCTGCAGTGCACACTTCAACTGAAAACGGGAGTAGAAAGTCTTCCGAGAAGCCATAAATCTTACCCCTAAATATTTGCTTCCTTGCATTACAAATTGTACTTGCTGTCCTACCAATTATTTGTTTTGATTTAAGCAAGGTCAAAGAAGCTTCACTAGTAATTGGTTTTTGTTTAGAGCCAAACATGACAGGCTGTAATTATAAATTCCTGACTTAGGGTGTGTTGCTTTTCTTCCAGTTATCTCCATTGATGGCTCTATACGATGACCAATAACATTATTATGAAATATTAACAACCTCTTACATAAATGTGATGACAAGCAAGAGCATAAATTTATATCTTGTACGTGCAATAAATTATAAAAAAGGGGAGTTCCTTGTGTTTTAACATTAAACTAATTAGGATAATACGAGTACTCTTAAAATCAGTTTGGATGAGAACTTTGTAAAGTTCATAACAATATTCTAATTATCTTTTGTTTTCATATATTTTAAAATCAGGTAAATTAATGCTAATACTTATAAAAAAAAACAGAAAATCAGTGGATTTCAATAATTATATATTTCATACTTCTGCAGTCATAGTTTAGCATTTAAAATTTCAATTAGTTATGGATAAAACCTTTTTCTTAACAGAGATTTTCCTAAGGATTTTTTTTTTTCAACTGCATAATCATATTTTAACTTTTTTTTAATACGTGACGCATTATTGCACCTCATATATACAGGCCTAGTAACAAATGATCCAAGAAATAAAGAATATTCAACTAATACATTTATTTATCAACTCTGGAATGGAATTTTATAATCTTAAAATATGTTTTTCTTTAAACTTATCCACTCGAACTTACTTATGTAGGTGAATTTCCAGCTGCACAAATATTTTTACAGGTGCACGATCTGTGATATTCGCTTGCTCTAAAAACTTCATTACAACAGACTCGTGTAGCAAGTGTTAAGCCTAATGACATGTTTTCATAGTCTTAACTTATTACGGAAGCTAACAAAACATTTAAAATAATTAAACATACAAATATCCTGTAATTACATGCTCAAACAATAGGGAGAAATATCGTGCTATCAACCATATCCTTATTACTTAAACATTTTCTAACCCTACTTTGTGAAACAAACATTTCTGGACTCTGTTTGAACATAATTCCGCTATACGTACGGTGAATGTGTAAGTATAAATTAAAAAAAATGACTTATTTTTAAACTTATATTTTGGTTATAACGTAGTGAGAAATGACTGTAATATATCTTGTTTGTATCGATTACTTCATACATTTTTAAAGCATTTATTTAACTCTACCGAATTTACAATTCCAAAACGAGTTGGCGACGAGTTGTCTTTAACTTTAAAAAATGTATTACGATAATCGCCTGATAAATATAATTATAATGCAAAGTTATATATTATATTTAAAAAAGTGTATAAAAATATAAAAGTACTTTATTTAATTGATTCCTGTTTCCCTAAATACAAGGGGTTATACTAATCTGTCGTGGTATGTTATTTGATTGATTGCCTACTTATATTTTATTGGGTAAACGTATTCTGTTAAAAAACTACTTCACATAAGAATATACTTTCCAAATTTTAATGCAGGTGTTTGGTCCACCAAGAAGTTTTCCTGTTTTGTTATACTCGTATACTACAATTGAAAAAAGCTTACATTCTTAAGGAATTAAAAGCTAGCATCATATATTCTCATCCAAAAGCGCAAACACGGTAAATGGTGCATTTTACTGAACTATCTGCTGTGTTTTAACTTAAGTTAAAAGGAATTGAAATTTTCAAAAAAAGCACCATATAGGTGCGTAGGCTAAACGGCTATTTTAGAGATGCCTAGAGTTCAGAAAAAAAGCTGATCTTAATGTCTAACACCAGAAAGAGAACAGCTGCTCCTGCCGGTACTTAGTTTTTGTCTGGCTATTTGAACTGAATAATGGGACTGACTGTCACATTTATAACGCGTTCACTACTGAAACTGCGGACGTTCAGTGTTATCACGTCTCGAATCTTGAACCCTTCGATAGGCAGCCTGACGCATTAAGTAAAGGTAATGCAAGAACAAATCATATGTATTTTAAATATCAATTCTCAAAATCATGAGGATTCTTGCATAAAGTATTTTACGAAATTATAGCCAACTCTTTGGTATTGATAAACATCTATAATTTTCATCACGCAATATAATCATATTGTAGAAGTTTTATTCCTTTGGAAGTGGAGCAAACAAAATTTTCCAAGAAAACGTTTTTAATCGTTTTATTTCTTCGTAAAACATTTAAGAGATAGTTTAAGCCAAACATAACAACTCCATCTGAAATGTACCCCCAGTTGGCCTCTCCTTTGATATCTTACTTGTTCGTTAAGGCGGAGTCAATATTTTAAACCCATTAGCAACTTTTCCTTTGATTGGATAACGAAAAGTATTTTCTGAAAAATTAAACTGCTTTGAAATGTATGCACCAATCTCAGCATCGTGTTAATCTTAATATATAATTTACAAAATTCAAGATATGCCAAAAAAATCAAGTTATTAATAACTGTATGGGGGGGAAGGCCTAATATGATCCTTTTCTGTTTGTTTTTTTACTTGCTGGTTATATTTGATGGCGCTAGTCGTAACGGTCCATCACTTTTCAAGGTAAGTGTCTCCCAAAAATATGTGATAGCTGAAAGAACAATAATAACATCTGGTGTAGGAAGGGTACATTTCTACGCAATTACGTCTAATGCAATGAACTGTGATACATACGACGAACAAAATTACGCATTACGTTATATATGAATTACTTACATCCCATTAGAGGAACATCGAATAATAATGGCTGACAAGGACTTAATTATACCGCACTATAAAAAAAATCATCGAGTTTCAAAATCACAAAATTTACAGATTACTTCACTTTCTTTTTAAACTGTCAAGCAAGGAATTATGGGAAATTTACAACACGTTGGTATATGCTTCGTGATGGCAAGTGTGTCACCCTCCTACTACGCTTTTACTCCACTGGTTCTATTATAGTGGACAGTGGAAGCGTGGATGGCATATACATCAACCAGGAGATTGTTTCTCTTTAGGTTCTTGGCCCAGTTTTCATTTTTTTTCTTGGTCCATGTAAATGCACCGAAAACGTTGTCCCTTATCCAGGTTGTCCACAAACAACACTTAACGATGTTATTTTTAATCCTCGAACAGGAATGATTTTGAAATTTACTTTTTCTTTTATTTATTTTTAACGCAAAGTTTAATTATCTGAAGAACGTTATTCCAATGTTTCAGTGAAACCATGATTAGGTACATTTCTGGAAAATCTAGGACAGATTTTTGTGAATCCTTGGTAAGGTACAATATTGGAAGATAAGAGAGATATTAGATACTAGGCACAAAAGTCACGTGTTCCTTAAGAACCATTTCTGGTTTCTTGGTAAGGTACGATTCAAGAAACAAATCATATTTACTGTAAAAATTGTCTTATAATATTTCCATTTACGAGGAGGGATTCTGGGGGTGTGTGTCTGCAATCATGACGAGTTTACCTTCTTTAACCCGTAAAAACAGCAAATACACGTTCCTTTGTAATTAAATAATCGGCGTTACAGCAATCTGCTTGAATGTAGCCATAATAACAGTCGTAACTATGGTAACCAGATGAATTATGAGGTATTTTGGGGACGAAGCGGGGGCTACGTGAACATAGAATTGCTACGTTTACGACCAGTAGACGTGTACATGTGACAGCAATGGGTATACAGGGACTGCCTAGTGATGCTGGCCAAAACAACTCCCATTGAAAATTCTACAACTCTGAAAAAAAGAGAAGAGAAAAAAAAGCGTCATGGAATTGGAAATTTAAAACTAAACAAGCTGTGAAAACTTGAAGTTAACTTAAGTTTTTGCTGTAAAGGCATGAATAAAATTATCCGAAGACGTCAGGTGGGATAAAAATGCTCCCCCTTTCCTTCCTACGAGTAGCAATTGATAAAAAACTGACCAGTGATAAAAAGTAGTACTATTTTATTTAAATTAACGTACACACAAACAAAATTATGAACAATAACAAACCTGATAGCTAACTATCTAAGCGTTTCTCAAACTATGGTCCGGGAGTCATGTCCGAAATTTAATCAAAATATTTCTAAAAAAAAAAAAAAGATTCCGTGTACATGAAAAGCTGTATTCCAAAATCAAATGTCTTAATTTTATGGAAAATATTTTTTATTCCCAAAATCTTTTTTTTTTTTTTTTAAAAAAAAACGATAGGTTTGGGGGTTCGCGAAAAAGTTTTAAATTAAAAGGGGTCCTCCGGTTATTAAAGTTTGAGGACCACTGAACTAGAACATTTAAGACATTTTAACTGGCGATAAAAAACAATATATTTAATTAAATCATTACGTATTTCAAAT